TCACATGTTGTTATAGCCATGGCACGATATTCTGCTTCAGTAGAGGAACAGGCGACTGTAAACTGTTTCTTAGTTTTCCATGAATGGGACTGGAGCCGAGAGTGACGAAGAAACCAATAGTAAAACGTCTGGTAGTGGGACAGCTAGCCTAATCAGAATTTGTATAAGCACGAACATAGAGGTCATTCGAAGAAGAGAAGAAAATGCCTTGTCCGGGAGTTCCTTTTACGTAGCAGAGAACGCGAGTGGCAGCTATCATGTGAGGAAGCCTGGGAGCATGCATGAATTGACTAAGGATGTTGACTACAAAGACGATTTCGGGTCGAGTGATAGTGAGGTAGATGAGGCGTCCAACTAATCGTCAATAAGGGGCCAGATCAGGAAGTAGGTCACCATCAGTGTTGTTGAGCTTGAGATTTTGTTCCATGGGAAAAGAAGCAAGGCGAGAACCAAGTTGACCACTATCAGCAAGAATATCCAGGGCATATTTCCCTGATTGAGAAAAATGCCTACAGATGAGCGAGCGACATCAAGACCAAGGAAATATTTGAGAGGTCCAAGATCTTTAGTTTTGAAGTACTTGGAGATGGTAGTCTTGAAGTGGTTGACTTGAGAGAGATCATTGCTGGCGATCAAGATGTCGTCAACATATACCAACATGATGGTGATACTGGTGACAGTGAGCAAAGTAAAAAGAGAGTGGTCCCCTTGAGACTGAACAAAACCTGCACTAAAAAGAACAGAGGTTAGTTTAAAAAACCAATTTCTGGATGCTTGCTTGAGGCCATAGAGTGACTTCCGGAGTCGACAAACACGTGTCTCCCCCTTAACACAGTAGCCCGGTGGGGGTTGCATGTAAACTTCCTCATCTAGTTCACCATGCAAAAAAGCATTGTGAACATCCATTTGATGAATGATCCAACTCTTGGTGGCAGCAACAGCTAGAAAACAACGAACGGTTGTCATTTTGGCCACTGGAGCAAAAGTTTCATGATAGTCTATACCTTCCACCTGAGTATAGCCTTTGGCTACAAGTCGAGCCTTGTAGTGCTCAATGGTGCCGTCTGCTCGGAGTATGGTTTTGAAAACTCATTTACAGCCGATGGGTTTTTTTTCAGGAGGGAGAGGTTCAAGGGTCCAAGTAGAATTTTCTGCAAGAGCACGCAGTTCAGATGCCATAGCTTCACGCCAATGAGAGTGGCGGTTAGCTTCAGAATAGCAAGTTGGTTCAACAGATGCAATAAGAGCAATTAAGAATGAAATATGAGCATGTGAAAAACGGGAATATGAAAGAAAAATAGATAGAGGGTGAGAAGTACCTAAGGACTGTGCAGCGGATGAAGAGGCAGTGGACTCCGTGGGAATAGTAGGACAGACATAATCTAGGAGGTAAGCCGGACAATTGAAAGTACGGCGGGGACGAGAGAGAATGGTAGAAGTAGGTGTAGGTCGGAATGTGGGATCAGGATGGATAGGGAATGTGGCGTATTTTCGGGGATAGGTAAGGATGAAATTATGGAGTGACTAGGGGAAAGAATGTCGAATTGTTGGAAAGGGAATTTATCTTTATGGAAAGTGACATCACGTGAGTAAAAGATTGTGTTGGTTTCAAGATTGTATAATTTGTAGGTTTTACGGTTACTAGGATAACCAATAAAGACGCAGAAGGAAGCACGAGGGGAAAATTTGTCACAGTAAGCAGTGAGGGTTTGAGCATAACAAAGACATCCAAATACACGGAGATGATGATATGTGGGTGCAGTGTTGAGAAGAATTTGAAAAGGAGTTTGATTTTGGGGAGACCGATTAGGTGTCCTGTTAATGAGGTAGGCAGCAGTGAGAATACATTCACCCCAAAATTTAAGGGGTAAATGTGCCTGAAAACGGAGGCTTCGAGTGACATTCAAGAGGTGCCTGTGTTTACACTCCGCAACACTATTTTGTTGAGGAGTTTCAACACAGGTATGTTCATGAATGATGCCATAAATAAGAAAAAAATCTTGGAGATTTTTTGAGAGAAATTATTGACCATTATCAGTGCAAATAATCTTAACATTGGATTTATATTGATTTTGGACAAGGCCAAAGAAATGCATTAGGTGACCAAAGGTTTCCGATTTAAAACGCATTAAATAAATCCATGTGGTGCGTGACAAATCATCAACAATAGTCAAAAAATAATGAAGTCCACAAATATAAGTGGTGTGCTAACCGGCCCAAATATCACAATGTAGCCAATGAAAAGGAATTAAACTTTTATTCGCATTAATAGGAAAAGGTAAATGCGTGTGCTTAGAACGAGCACAAGTATCACAATTTGAGATAATACATGGAATATCAAAAATTGCAGGAATAGTAAAATTAGATGGATGACCTAGACGGCAATGCTGTAAGGTCTTATTGTTGACTTTCTGAATTGAAAAAACAGCACTTTTTGGGGCTCGAAAAATGTAGAATCCATTGCAAGCATCACCCGCTCCAATCAGCCTCTTTGACTGAGGGTCCTGAAAAAAAAATGGGAGGATGAAAATAAAGCAACACATGATAATTGAGTAGTAAGGGAGGGGACAAAGAGGAGATTAAAGTGAAAGGCAGGGACACATAAGACATTTTGTATGGTGAGGGTTTCGGATAACATGACCGAGCCTATGCCTTCGACAAAAATTGATGCTCCCTTGGGTAGGCGAATCGATCGTGCCACTATCGGCAGTCGGAGATCAAAGAAGAACGATCGGCAGTGACTCATATGGTCGGTGGCATCGCTGTCAACGATCCAGTGTTAATGTGGGTCAAAAAAAAGAGTTCGACAAGGATAAGAGATTACCCACGAACTAGTCGGCAGAGGAAGATGAAGGAGGCTAGAGAAGAGTCATCAGTTGTTGGTAACTTTCCGGCGAGACACCAGGGATGGGGCTCGCAGTTGCACCGACAAAGTGAGCTGTCGTAGGTGGCTTACCAAGGAGTGAGAGATTCTGATTTGGGTGTCATGGTTCTCTACCAGGAGGGTAGCCGATGATCTGCCAGCACCGGTGTCATGGATGGCCAGATTTGCCACACTCAGAGCATTTGATGGGTGGTTTCTCATGATGGGAAGATCGGGCAGCAAAGGAAAGGCTTTCTGAGGAGGGGCAAGTGAGATGTAAGAGTCGTTGTTTTTCTTCTTGGAATAAAATGGAGAAGAATTTGTTGAGGGGAGAAAGAGGATCAGTGGCAAGGATTTGGGTGCAGAATGCAGCGAAGGAATCATTGAGTTCGAGAAGAAATTAAAACACACGTTCATCCTCAGCCCTTTTTTCTAAGGTAAGAGCATCAGTACTTGGTTGTAAATTTCCAAGTTCATCCCACAATTGTTTGATATTGTTATAGTAGTATGGAATTGAGAATTGGTTTTGGTGGAGAATGGAGATTTCTCGTTTGAGATGGAAAAGTCGCGCGTTGTTGCCATGGCAAAAACAAGACTCAAGGTCGAGCCATACGTCTCGGGGGTCATCGTGGTAGTCTAGGGAGTTGGCTAGGGAAGGGGTGATGGTATTTAGGATCCAAGTGAGGACCATATCTTTGGTCCTACTCCATTGAGCATAGTCAGGAAAGGTGGTTGTTGGTGGTTTGAGTGTTCCATCAACAAAGCAAAGTTTGTTCTTTGCATTGAGTGTTCTTCTAAGAGCACATTGCCATTTTGGAAAATTGTCTCCGACGAGATGCTCGAAAATAAGAATTAGATTGGGAGAGTCGGATGGGTGAAGGAGATATGGGGAAGAGATTGGAGAATCTTCCGAGGGGGAAGCCATAGAAACTGTTCACAGGTCTGTTGAGGATCTTTTTGACTCTGATACCATGTTAAGAAAGTGATGGGATAAAAAATGTTTACTTATATTATTTTAAGTATTACACACCTATATATGGAGTAATTCTATTCATGGAAATAATATTAAAATCTATACAAATAAATGTGTAACAGTCAACTAGCTAAGAATGTGGAATTGTGATATGTTAAAACGTAATTGCTGGAATCTGGTGATTCTGATTTGGTAATAATTTTAGTAGTCCAGCAAAAGCTGAATGTAAATCTTTACATTAGATCAACGGCTCTTTGGCCGAATAATACTTTTTGCTTTGTAAAAATTGTCATCTTGACATCAATGATTCAAATCTTTTGAATGACAACAGTGTGGTTGATTGATAGTATGAACTTCATTTGCTTAGATGAATCGTATCCAAATCTCTAATGTGAGTTCGAATTTCCACTAAAAGACATGTTTAGATTTAATTGGCGTATAAGTTAAAGGACTGGGTTTATGCACTCGGAATTTACCCTTAATTTTACTTGGACTCACGAACTTAAGTGACATAAACACATTTCTATTCGTCAAGACAGACCAAGAATTTTTTTCGTTACTCAAAAAAATAATCCTTACTTTAGAATTCGAGTCCTTTCATTCTTCTTTGTTTTTTGGGTCACACACAATTGGAGGAGAAGGGGAAGGTTGGGGTGGAGATTCAGTCTCCGTGAGTTCTTTTGTTTGGGTTTACAAATCCCCAATATGCGGTGGTTGCATTGTAATACAAAGTGATTGGGACCGTCAAATTACCAAAACAAACGGATAGAGATTGAGAAGGGAGGAGTCAACCCATGATGAGTCCCACTTTAGACCCTTTGGGTCTCATTATTGTGTTTAGCCATGCCCTCTAATTTTATTCTCAATCTCGTCCCCATTCTCTCCATTATTGTCCATCTCTTCTTTATAATATGTTTTTAACAGTGAAATTTATGAATATAATACACCCACACTTTATCATTTTCTCCCATCTCTCTCTCTCTCTCTCTCTCTCTCCTTGAAATCTAATTTTTCAGCCACGCTCGTAAATTTTGCAGATTATCAAGGGCATGCATTGAAATTATAGCCATAGTCACCACCGTCCTTGATAGTTTTTCAAAGGTTTAAGACATCTCAAAACTTCTCTCTCCTGTCAGTGGCCACTGCTTGGATCTCCAACCACCCATGGCAGCTACTACCTCAACAAATTGCACCAGCTTCTTCAATCTCCGAGCTGACTCAGTCGTGCCCAGTGTCAGGTCCTCATCGAACCATGGCTCACCTGGGTGTGGAAAGCTTGATGGGGTGGCCATGTGGCTCGTCAATGGCGTCGCAAGTGCCTTCTTTGCTTCTTTGGATCGATGTTCTTGCATTCGTATTGCAACTGTGGAGGATGGTGATGAGGGCAACGACTTGCCGTTGATCTTCAACGATGGAAATATTCACTATGATGGAGGCAGTGGTAGCCGGAGGAGACCAGGGAAAGGGAAGAAAGGAGCTCTTGATGAGGCTTAAAAACATATTTTTAACTACTCATGTTCTTCATGGTAAGTTTTATTATTTTGAGGTCTCTGTGGACTAGGGGTTGTGAAGTTTGCTGCTTTATGGGTTTTTTTGTTTTTTTTTTTTTTTTTTCTGGTTTAACAATCGGGAGTGTTTGGGGCATTTTACATGTATCTAGACTAATCTCCTTTCCAGTCCAGTATGTCAGGACTAAAATATTCATGAGAGATAAATCCCTCCTAACTTGGTCCCAAAGACTACTTTATGATTTTGAGAAGATGGGAAAATGGAAATATATGAGTTGGGTCAAATGGTTTGAAGATGTGATGAATATGGAATGTCACTTGATCTTATGTCTTATATCATTATCATCTTCTATATATATATATATATATATATATATATATAATTTGATCTAAAGTTAAATTACAATTAATGACTCACTTAATCAGTTATAATTTACTTGATTTATGCTATTGGATTAGGGGATTAATGTCTCTACACATGGAGAAGTGAGAATTTGCTACTTTATGGTTTTGAGAAGATGGAAAAAGGGAAATATACCGGTTAGGTTTAATGGTTTGAATATGTGATGTGTGATGCATATGCAATTGCACTTGAGCGTATGACTTGTATGTATCAATATCATCCTTATTCATGATCTTATTCAGAAAATTAAATTATGAATAACTCACTGAATCAATTATAATTTGATTGGTTTATGTCATTGAATTAATGTGAAGACCTTGATAATGTTGCACATGCTTGTCAAATCAACTTTATGAATCGGCTGAGAATCAAAACCTTAGTCTTTGTGAACCCCTTCTCTCACCTTTCAGATCGACTTTTGTCTGTGTCTTGCCGATCAATCTCACAGTCAGGCAGACTTATACTATTATGCTCACGATCAGAAATTTAGCTTGAACCTACCGTCACACACCTTCATTACTCTTTCGAAGATATCCGCATCACATAAACTACCCATCTCGCAGTGTCCTGCCCTTAATTGTATCAAAAAAAAATTGGATAGATATAATTGTAAATAGATTAAAAATACCATATTATTTTTAATAAAAGAGAGACAAAACTACAAAACAATGGCAGTGAGAATCGAACAAAAGTCCGACATTGATTTATCTTGTGGCTATTTACTAAGCTTCTATATGCAAAGATGGTGTCACTACACAGTACAAGCTACTTGATATTTTTTGTCATCAGAAAATGTAGAAAAAAAAAAAAAAGCAAACAGGATCTAAAAGTCATTTTAATTATTCAAAAAAAACTTACCTTTGCCATGATTATGAATGATGATGTTTTTTGGGGTCATTATATTGTTCATTGGTCTTTGATTCTTTCACTTTTGCTTTTATTTTATCCTGAAGATCATCAACATAAGGAATCCGAAGAAGGAATATCAGTTTTTCAGTGAAATTTTCTTCCGGAAAGACAGGGACTTTAAATAGTCTATTAGCTTTATAATGCCTATTTTGTTTTTTTTTTTTGAAAAGAGGATATAGGGGACGGTCAAATGTAGAATATTTGTCCAGCCCTTATATGTTTACTCGTTGGGACGTCCTATAGAGAGCCCAAACGGGGAAAAGAGTTAGTTGTGAGAGTTGTTGCTAGAATATTTCAATGTTGAGGATTTTTTTAGTTTTCTTTAATTATAGGAGGTCCGTCTAGGGGTGTCTATAGGCCTGGTTATCCACGGGTTACGTTATCCAACTTGAAAAAAAAATAGGTCCGATAGTTGGCCCCCGCCTGAGGCTGAGCCCAATACCTTAAAAAACAAGTTTGTGTTTGTCCTCAAATTCATTACCCGGCCCGAAGTCCGGCCCAATAGCCACCCAAAAAACCGTTAAAACACAATCTAAGAGCCCGTTCGTCAAGCCCATTAAATTTGAAACTTTGAAATAAGTCTCTTAATGTCAAAATTTAAATTTTTAAAAATTTAGATACTGTAAATAATGTATTATTTTTTTTAATGTATTAAACGTACAAGTTTTAAAGGGTAAAGTAATGCAAATGATATATAAGTGAGTGGATATCAGCCTAATTGAGATATATTCATTCTATTGGATGTAGTTCATCCCTTAATCAAAAATATATTTATTCATTATTTTATTTTAATTCATTTTGACTCTACTTTTAATTGAAAAATATAATTTATATAAATATTAAATTATAAAAATATTTATTATTTTTAAATAAAATTATTTATAAAAAAGCCCGCGAGCATGCCCGCCCAGAAGATCTACCTAATAGGCTCGCTAGTTGGACTGTGAGTAGTCTACCACTACCAGAAGTCGGTCTAGCAGCCTGATAACTCACTTGGATAAGGATTTGGACCTATACTATCCAGACCCGACCAAAAAAAAAATTTATAAGTCTAAACCTGCCCGGCCCATAAACACCCCTAGGCCCGTCATAAATTTAAGTAAGACAACAAACGATTGATTTGATAAAGTAATTTAATGGATAGGACAATATTTCGCTAACCCATGTTTTGTGAATCACTCTATGGGGTGGGTGAAAGGCCGAGTCCATTGCTGCCCCGTTAGCCCAGTGGTCCACCAGTCATTGGTCGGTCTGCCATATTAAACTTGGTTTCCTTTAGCCCAATGAGAGAGTACCCGATGAATAGCTCATTGGTTTTTAGTAGATCTGACGGGTTGGTCCGATGAAAGCCCATAAAGGGACCATCATGGGCTCTTGGCCCATCCTATTGGCATGCTTAACTTGATTATTTTGAACAATTTCTTTCGCTGCATTTGATATATGGTAATGTTTTTACATATGAATGGAATAAACGTGGCAATGAAATGGAATGGAATATACATTATCATTCCAATATTTGATAACAATTAGAATTAAGTACTATAATAAAATTAAAAATTCACTCAAATATTTGAATAATCTCTAGTCTCGGACTCGAACTCGAACCCCAACAATGGACCTTGGACTCGGACTTGACCCTGGGAGTCGAACCTAGACTAGGACTCGACCCAGAACTGTAGAGCCAGACCTAGGACCTGAACCCAGACCCCGGACTTGGACCTGACCCCAGGTGGAGATTGGGCAAAGGGGTGATAATGGTGGCACGTGATGGCAGTTGAAAATGGAAAATACCACCAAATATTTAGTAATGATAAAGAGCAATGTTACACTTATGAGATTAGGCATTCCATGATAATGGGAATTAATTTTTATTACTATATACTAAATATTAGAATGAACATTACTAAGTAATGATTATTCCATTCTCATGTTTTATTATTCACCGACCAAGCGCAGCGTTAATTTTTTTAATCTGGCTCCTTTCTGAGTTGTAATCCAACTATTACTTCAAGAAAGAGTTCTACACGTTCTTCCAGTTACTCGTCTTTGTTTATTTTGAGCCCGTCCGGCTATTTATTTTGTTGATAAGCGGATATTTAAGTTCTTGATTACAATTTATATATATATATAAAAAAAAAACCTTAAAGAGTAAGACTTACTCTCTAATTCGTCATGATTAAGATGTAATATCGGTCGAGTTAGTAAGGTGATTGTGTTTAAAAACCATGTTTTCACACGAATTTTGTCACGTCCGCATTTTCAGATTTTAAACGAAGCATGATCATTCATATCTTCAAGTTAATTTGAATTCAAACAATTGTATATACGAAATTTTCATAATATTATTCTTCACTCGCCTTGTCTATTTATGATCATAGCCATAGTACCTGCAGATACATCTACTCAGGGTTGCAGAAGATGTAGATGGACCACACCAGAAGCCATAATGTCCTGCATTATTATTTCACGAGGGAAGTGTCTTCTGTCCTGTGCCCAGAACACGGCCTACTCAATGCATCTATTTGCTTTGTTCAATATTCATAATGAATAAAATGACATATAGTCCACTCGAATTTCTTCGGATTCTCTTGAGAAGTCACCTACCCATTAATTAAAGTAGAACTTAGTAGGGTTTTAATGGTTGATATATCGTAGTCTTTAAGTTGCGATGTCTGATTGTTCCAATGACATGATCTGCGGGTGACCATATGCATCTCAAGTATCCGTAGCAGTTATGTATCTACTCTCCTACATTACCCTTTTACACTCTCCAAACAATCTCAAGGAGTTTCACAAGTTATAACTATTCCATTTTTGTTTTCTACCATGTGACCATTTTATTTGAACCTATAAAGAGTTAAAAAGGAAGAAAACAAGGGGACATGAGAGCTAAATTTGGGGTCAATGCACATGCATACATATGAAAAACAGATAACAAAACAAAAATGTAAGGTAGTTATTTGCCCTTCAACTTGTTTAATTGTCATGGGAGTATTGTACTATTATTATGGGTTAAAAAATTAACAAGAGGTGGAATTGCTAAGGCTGCAACCAATCAATCATCCATGCAGAACTGGCTATTCAACTTGGCTCTTTTCCTTTCAGTGGTGTTATGTTTGATATGGGTGTCTCCTTAAGAAGACAAAAAAATTGGGGACCATGTAAATATAAAATTAGATGATCAAATGAATATGATGAGGTAAAACAAAGAGACAGACAAAGAGACATCTCTGGAAACCATATCTCAAGGTTATGTTGCATTAACTTTTGCAGATACCTTGTGAGTTACAAAGATTGCATGGCCTCATATGTTTGCTGAATTTGTCATGTATTTCAGTTTTGTTTTAATCAAATCATCTTTTGTCTTTAGTTTTCACCAATGTTTTTAGTAGATCTACTTTTGCTTGATTTTCTCTTATGATAGGTCACTCATTCATAGTGTATGAATGGAGTCAACTCAAAGATAATGGATCCCACTTGAATTCATAATAAAAGATTTGCCATTGAGAGAAATTGTATTGGAGAGATCTTACTCCGTCTTACAAGTCTCTATAGTTAGCCTTATTTAAGTCCTCCATCTTCTCTCATTTTCTACTCTTGTTCAGTCCCAAACTGACAGATATGCTTTGTCTGTCCCCATTAATACATCTGCAACAGCACCATCTCTTCTCTCCTCTTCTCCTGACAGCTTATAGTTACACCCCTATCTTCATTCTCTTGCCCCCATCAACTTGGCAGACTCCAATGGCTTCTATGACTCCCAAACTACTTGGAGAACTTCTCCAAGAGCAGCAAGAACCTTTTACTCTAGAGGTCTACCTTCTTGAAAGAGGGTATCAGAAAAACAAATCCAGTTCAGACCACAGCTTGCGCTGCTGCTCCAGCAATTCAACCAAGTTCTTGAAGAGGCCTGCTAGCTGTGGTCTAAAGAAGAGAAAGAAAGTTGTTCCAAACTGTTCAAACATTGTAAAAGCTGTATTTAACAAGCTTTTATCCATTGACAGGAAGTGGACAAAGAAACATTATGGGAGTGATCAAGGCGTAAGTGCCACAGAGATGAGCATGAACAACCCAGAAATTGCAGAGGATGATAAATTCTCATCCGCTAGCAGCACAACTGTGTTCAATTCTTGCTCTGGAAGTGATGTAGAAGATGAATATGATTTATCAAAAAATCAACACAGATCATCCACTCCAAAAACCTGCCATGCCTTGAAACTTGGCAATCTAGGAAAAGAGGTATAATTATATTTTAATGATCTATGTACTCTTCCATGATACAGCCATAAATTTATCTTTAAATGGAAATTATTGATTCAGTTTGCTTACTCATAAAGCTAACAGGTTGCTACAAAGAGAACATTCCAATGGAGAGGTGTCGAAGACAATAACCAACTCGGGTGCAGCCCTGTGTCCATGCTAGAAGAACTACAATTTGATGAAGGTTTACTAATTCAAAGCAGTTAGTCTCTTGATAAAGAAATTTCTGCAAACATTCTGTTGCTTTGGGAACACTAAAAACTCTTCATTAATTAGTTGTTTTTACATGAAAACAGCACCACAGAACGCGAACACAGTGCAAGAAAAAATCTCAACCACTTTCAAGAAAGTAGCTGATGAGTCCACAATCCCAGTTTCCCACCTCAAGTTATCAGTCCATTCATCGCCAGAGACGCCAAATCGGAGTCATGCTGGCAAATGCCAGGAGCTCGTAGCTCCGAAACCTTCTTCTCAGTACATTAAGAACAAGAGGGCATTGCAGCAACCAAAACAGCTTCTCTTCAACTGTGTGAGGGAGGTGGTGGATAGTCATATAGGAAAGAACAAAAGGTGGCTAAAATACCAGGAAATCCTGTGGCCTGAGGAGCTTTGGATGCTCCTATGTCAGGATATATGGAGATGGAGCAGACAATCAGTAGATGTAACTGACATGACCCATCTTCTAAACTTGGACCTCTTTGCTTCCAAATCATGGAGTGGTTTTAAGCAGCACAAAATGGATATGTATATGGAGATTGGAGATGCCATTTTAGAGGATATCAAGATTGAGATTGTGATGGATATGATCCAATTTGTTCGACATAGTATCGGTTGAGCTGGTTAAGAAATGTAACTACATGCATTCAGTGAATTTGACTTGAGCCATTGTTTTAGCCTCTTTACTTACCATATCTACTGCATTCAAGAAAAGAAATAATCGAGAGGTCGTACCTTGAGCCAAGACAAATGTTCATTCATTCAAGTGATAAATTACAGATTGGAGATTTGGAATCAACACTTCAAAATGAGTTAAAATTTATGTACCACTTACTTTTCCTAGATTTTGTTATAAACCGAAACCTTGTATCTGTGTATAGCCTTTTTGATTAAAGAAATGCTTAACTCGGGATTAAGACCAATAGGAAATGGAACATTGTCTGTTATAGCTGCACATTTGCAAAGTTTAGAAATCTAACAACTTAGACAAACAGGGGAAGACTAGTTTGTCTCGTGATGACGTGTGCGACTGATATCGATCTTTTAAACAGCCAACTAAAAGATCAAAGCTTCAAAAGATTCGTATATTGCCATTTAGCATTATTTCTTTGCGTGGGTTTGAAGGGTACGAGTGTGATCTAGATCTCATCAAATACACTTCTTTTTAATTTGTATGTGATATATCATCTACTATGTATTAGTGATTAACTCACTTATATGATATATCTGATGAGTTTACTAGATTCACCACCTCCGTCAATGTTATATTCAATCCTGCCTATCCCAATCCAAGATTAAAGGAGGAAGATTGCGTTAGATAATCAACAATCAACGTAAAATTTTAATAAATCAACTATGATCGGTCTAAATGAGCATAGAGTGTAAGATCAAAATGAATAGTGAAGATAAACTCATATAACCAATCTTAAATGATTAAAACATTAGACTTGATTTGCTAGATTCACCGATGAACAACCATTGAAAAAACACACTAGAAAAATCATTTATCACAGAGCATTCAAATCCACACCCCCCCCCCCCCCAAAAAAAAAAAAATGCGCAAGTTTGCCTTAAAGTAGATAATTGCTTCTGTCAAAAGCGGCAACTTACATCCGAAACAACATAAAGTTTTTTGTAAATGCATACCCAGATTCAAATGAAACATAATCATTCCAACCGACCTTCCATGTAAATGACTGAGACTACGAGCAACAGCAATCCACAACAAAGGCTTTTGCCTTTTCAACATAGCATATAACTCAAATTGATTTGTTTTGGTCTTACTTTAATTCTATATGTAGAGATTGTGATATGATGGGAGTAGACCTGTAAACGATGGAATGATCTATAAACTCGTAAATATGCAATGCCTTCGAATCATCATGTTACTTCCATATATAAATACACAATGAGATTATAGCTATGCACATTAAAAATTTTCCATAAAATATCCAAACAAAATTCATTACACAGTACAATGTTACATATCCTTTTTGGACATCACAAACCTCACCCCCACCCCCCTCTTTTTCCAGTGAATTCTTACAAGATCCATTCGTCTTTTCCAGCATCTAATCAAAGCAGATGAATACTAGGACTAATCTCTCACATTACCACCATCAATTCTGCCCCAATAACAACAGATGACAGAAAAAGAAAACCAAGCACTCTCTAGGCAGCACTTAAAATTTTTCTTTCCCTCCGTTTGACAATAAAATCATCTAGAAAGAGAAATATGCCAAGGTTTGTAGAAGCAAAAACGACCTAAAATATAAGCCATGCTATCCAATCAACATAGTTGAAAAAACTGTGAAACTCTGTTTTACTTGTGCAAAAGTTGGGGCAATCTACAGAGATAGGATGCTAAGAATATGTAATAACTACCGGATTTCCCCATCCTCACCAACCTCCCCATCTTCGAGCTCCTCATAACCACCATTTCTACGAGAGCCATCCCTGTGATCCCTCTTGTATCTCTTGTGCCTGCTTTCAGTATCTGATTCTGGGGTATATGCATGCTGCCAAGAAACAAAAGCAAGTAATCTATGGTATTACAGTATCATAAGCCAATCACAACTGAAAATGATTCAAAATGTAGAACTTCACATACCTTTCTGGATTTTTTACGGTCACTGCCATGTCTATGTGATTTTTTAGAGTCATCGTCCTTATCAGAGCTCACATCATCAGGTACACTCTGATGCCGCTTCCGATGTTTCCTCTCCTTGTCCTTTTCCCTCTTTTTGTCCTCTTTGTGGCCATAACTGTCAGTGACATCAACATTCTCACTTTCTGTTTCATCCTTCTTAGATCGTTCTTTCACCTTTTCTTTTTCACGTTCTCTTTCTTTCTCTTTCTCTTTCTCTTTCTCTTCTCTTTCTCTTTCTCTTTCTCTCTCTCCCTTCTATCTTTCTCTTTTCTCTTCTCTTTCTCCTCTCTCTCTTTCTCCTTTTTAACCTGCAAAGGCAGCCATAGGAGAAAATAAGATATTTATCATGCAACAAATTTTCACATTCACCAGAGGACAACAACTCTATTCATATTTAGTTAGGGCCAAAAGGGATGTCATAAAGGCAGCCACAGCTGTTCCGATAAAGACAAACCACAATGTTCGAACATATAACCCAAAAATCAGCATCTACAACAGATAACAGCGCAACTTAATTAAAAGGAGTTCTAAAAAAAAATTGCAAGGCTATGATCCTTCTGGCTGGACACACATGTCAACCATAAACGGGACATTTCAGTAGTAGTGTTATTTAAGGCCTAAAGTAAATCAAAGCGCTAAGGTCTCTTGAGGCCTAGGTGAGAAGCGAAAGTTTCATCGAAGTGAGGTGAACAATATAGAAACCAAGCAAATACTTTAGTTGTTACTACTACGTATCAAGTTCCAACTTTTTAAGTACTAAATATTCAAATGCAACACAAAGCATAAACATTTAAATTGAAACAAGCATCAATAATATCTCAATCTTAACTCAACATTAACATTTAAATTTAAAAAAAATGGCAAAAATATACCAAATTCTACCATTTGAAGCAAAAAACCAAAATCAAATATCAAAAGAGGAGCAACAATCTGAAGCAAAAGTAGAGCTCCACCAACAATAAATCATAGAGCCAACAATAAATCGTTGAGCCAGCAAAAGCAGAGCTTCAACTCCATCTTAGAAGAAGAAGAGGAGGAAAATAAAAAGTAGAAGAGGAGTAGTAGTACACGCACCTAGTCTCTGTAGTGAATCGTTTTTTGGGAGAGAAGAAAAAGAATAAGTTGGTTTAGTGAATCTCATCCTCCAGGTCGTAGATCGTAGATCGTTTTTCTAGAAGTAGCAGTAAATTGTTTGTGAAGAAGAATAAGAAAAATTAGAGCACAAGAAAAAACCTAGGTGAATCAAGTCCTTAGACGCGACTTCAGCTCTCATGGCCCTTAATTCTCAATCAATTTTGTTGTAGAAATTTTAGGATTAGAAACATGAATCAAGTGGTAATCAGTTGTTTTGACATGTCCAATTTTTGATCCAATTGATCAAATCTAAGTATCTAACGGCCCATAATAGATCCAAAAATCAAAATAGAAAATTTATTGAAGCGTTCGCCTAGGATGCTTACGCTCCAAACGACCTAAGGTCGCTTCTCACCTAGGCTAGCTTTTAATAACACTGAGTAGGGCATTCCATCAATTTAAACTGTTGAAATATCAGAGAAGGCGATTAGTGAATAGTGGTTGCACCAATATGACATTAGACAATATACCAACCCAACCTCAAATGAAGTGACTACTCTTAAGGCTAAAACCATGTTCACAAGCTTGTCATGTAAGCAAAATAATAAACTTACATCCATAAAAATATACATGGAGTTTATCGATATGCAATATGTAAGATGTGTAATAAGCATGGTATATATTACCGTGTAAATTTTCATGTAGATATAAATATACATCAATGTACATCTTACATTAACTAAATGTTTGCAATTGATTATCTACTAAGAAACACTTAACACTTACAAAGAAGTCACTTGTCGATACTTCTCTGACATGCAGGCTTCCGCCGTGTCCATATTACAAAACAAAATCTTATTTCTACACATACCCGACTTGCCGATTTGTGTTTACTAAAATTCAAAAGTTAGGATGTGACCATCTCATAGTATGAAAAAAAAATAATAGTTATATTTTAAGAGTAATTAAAAGGCAAATATAAATTTATTAGCAAATTTTTACTATATGTATAAAAAGAGTAAGCCAAGTGAAGCTTGTTTTTTTTTTTTTTTTTTTAAAAGTAGCACGGGGATAGGGGTGCAACTCGTGCGGGTTGAAAGGTCAACCCTAACCCAACCCTAGATATATAATCTTCAACCCTAAACCTACCTCAACCCGAGTTTAATTCGGACAAGCTCGGCTTGAATTCGGGTTACTTAATTCAGGCTGATTTTCAGGTTAAAAATCGGATTGACTTGGGTTACTTAATTCGGGTTAATTTTTTAAAGTTTAGATTTGATTTTTTCAAGTGTAAGTTTGATTTTTTCAAGTAATCTGAGATGAATGACAAAACACTGATGCAGAGAGAGGGAGTGAGAGAAGGAGAAATGACAAGTGAGAAAGGGAGACTGAGAGTTTGAGACGACTCAGACGAGTGACGACTGAGAAAGGGAGGCCGAGAGAGGTAGGATTGACGAATGAGAGAAAGATTTGAGAGTGATGGAGACGCAAGACTGAAGACTTAAACTGAAGTGAAAATTTTGACTCTAAAGAGTGAAGATAAATATTAACCCTAGTTAAATATATTATATATTTATGTATATTCGGATTCAACCCGATTTAATAATCGGGTTCAATCCTATTTTAATATTTGGGTCGAACCCTACAACCCGAAGCCTCCACCCGAGGCTTGCCCAAATTCAATTCGAATTGGAATTTTTTTTCCCAGGCCCAACCCAAATATTAAAAATTCTAACCCAAGCCCTTTTTTTCGGGTTGACCCACCCAAGTTGCACCCCTACACGGGGATGATTGTGATCATCATAACCATATTATTTTTCCATGCTTTTTTTATACTACATCTGATTTTGGACTATAATGATTCGTTACTCGAGATTTCATATTACACAATAAAG